TGTCGCTGCAGATCTAGAGGAAATGTTCCTACAAGTGAAGGTGCCAAAGAGCGACAGAGATCACTTAAGGTTCTTGTGGTTTGATGATGATCCTTGTGGTAAGGTGTCGGAATAAAGGATGACAGTTCATCCATTTGGTGCCACGTCCTTCCCGTTTTGTGCTAATTTCTCTCTACATAAGGCTGTATCCACGTTTGGTTCTGATAATCTGCTGGACGTCATCGATTGTTGCTTCTATGTAGATGATTGTTTGGCCTCTTTCGATGATGATGAGTCTGCAGTTAAATTTGTAACAAGTATTACCGAGGTGTTAGCTAAGGCTGGTTTTCGTTTAACTAAGTGGGTCTCGAACAGCCCAGACGTTTTGAAGCATATAGTTCCAGAAGACAGAGCACCTACTCTACCAGATTTACCTGTTGATACTCTACCAGTTGAACACAAATAAGGTATGCGATGGGATTTGAACTGTGATACGTTTGGATTTAGTGTTGGTGATATTGAAAAGCCAGTCACTCGGAGAGGTGTGCTTTCTGTGCTGTCATCCATGTTTGACCGACTTGGATTAGTAGCACCTTATCTACTTCCGGCAAAAAGATTATTTCGAGAGACATGCAGGAAAGGGTTACAATAGGATGACCCATCAAGTGAGAGACACAGTGAGGAGTGGAAAAACTGGGTTAACAATTTAAGAACGCTGGATCTACATTCCGTCTCACGTCCACTTAAGCCATCGAGAAATCATGATATAATTGACTTCCATGTTTTTTCCGATGCCTCTGAGGTTGGATTTAGAGCAGCCGTCTACATCACAACTACCTTAAGGGAAGATAAATATGTTCACCTCGTTATGGGTAAATCTAGAGTTGCACCTCTAAAGACGGTTTCTATTCCGAGATTAGAACTTACTGCAGCGTTGCTAGCTGCGCCGTTATTCACAACGGTATGTAAGGAGTTAGATTATCCCATGCATCCTGTAACCTTTGGGACTGATTCGATGCCTGTGATATATTATATGCGCAACGAGTCAGCAAGATATGCATGTTTTTTAGCTAACAGAGTATCTCAAATTCGTGAATTAACAGCCGTTGAGCAGTAGAGGTACGTACCGTCTGGGAAAACCCAGCTGATCTAGCATCGCGAGGAGTTATTCATATGAATGTGGTTAAAAGTAAGTGGTGGAAGGGTTCGGAGTTCCTGCAGCGAGCTGATAGTATGTGGCCTAGTAGAGAAGATGAACCACCGATAAGTGACTGTGTCTTGGAGTTTAAAACAAGTATCAGTGTTACATCTACTCAAGAAAGACATTCGAGTTTACACCCATTTTAAAAGTATTATTCTTGGTACAAATTACTGAAGGCTGTCGCGTGGTTGACACGATATGTTACGTATTTGAAGGTCATGCATCTTGTAGGATACGATAATATGAATGTGGGACCTTTGAGAATCGAAGAAATTAGAAATGCAGATTTAGCGATTTTGAGGGTTGCTCAGTGGGAAGCGTTGGGTGAGATAGCCAAGGATGATAGTCCCGATTTCTCATATTTCAAGGTGCAATTAGATAGATTATCTCCGGTAAAAGTGACTGATAGAATTCAGTCTGCACCGAAGATAGGACTGGACACATTACACTAGTTACTGACTAGTGTTCAATCAAAAATATCCAATGCAGTCCTACAGGAGGTCAGTCGCGAGCCTGAATATCTCAGTGGTAACGTCTCTGACTGCAGCACTGGGTGATGCGGGTTCGAATCTCAGAAGGGACATCAGTTCCTTCAAGGTTGCAAATACGCCTTGCTGATGAGTGCCAACTGGCACGAAACCTAGGTCCAAGGCTTCCTGCCGATTGCCTCCAACCACCTAGTACCAACAATTCAGTGCACCGTAATGGCGAGCTACCTAGCATGGTGGCCACATTGCAAACATGACTGATAGAATTCAGTCTGCACCGAAGATAGGACTGGACACATTACGCTAGTTACTGACTAGTGTTCAATCAAAAATATCTCCAGTAGTTTCCGAAGGGATCCCTAGAATTGGTGGACGTCTACAAATGTTAGAATCGACATATGAGACCCGTCATCCAGCCTTATTACCTTGCTACCATCCAGTCACCAATCTCATTGTAAGACACCACCATGTTCTTGAAGGTCATTTGGGTTCTTCACAAGTACTTTCAAGTATTCGATGCAAGTTTTGGATAGTAAAAGGAGGTACTGCTGTCCGTTAAATAGCTGATGGGTGCATGAAATGTAAACTAAGGAATGCTCACTCAGCACAGCAGATGATGGCACCACTCCCAGCGTGGCAAGTTTCTGAAGGGAAGTATCCATTCGAGTATGTCGGATTGAATTTGTTCGGACCTTTTGTAGTGAAGAGATGCAGAACCTTATGCAAAAGATATGGCTGTTTATTCACTTGTTTGAGAATGAGAGCTGTGCATATTAAGATGGTTCATACGTTAACTACTGGTTCATTTGTTCTAGCATTACGTAGATTTATAATAAGCAAAGCCAACTGGTCGTTTGATATCACAAATTCTAAGGAAATGAAAAAAATAAATTAATCGCAATGCCATCCAATTAAGTTAACGTGTCAATGTATGTACAGATCATGACTTAGCTAATAAAGAAAGCTCCTCCACATAAAAATAATTACTATTTTTTCGAGTACATCGGATGACTAACGAGTGAAAAGGTGAACTCCATTGCTAGCAGCCACAAGGCCTTACAGAACAGCATACTGCAAAGTATTTGAAATCAATCCATTTGCAGTCATGTTAATTTACGCACTGGAGTTGTGGGGCATACTGCACGTGAGGTTACCGAAGATCAGGAAACTTTAGTCCACCAGCAAGATGCAAGTAGATGGAAGTTATTGTGGTTAACAATAGCTCGTGAACACTATAATATATATTAGATACTGTTTGAATGCGACCTACCGAACTACATTAAGACAAGAAAAAGCACTTCGCCATCTCTAATCACTTCAAGAAGGAAGTGGTCAGGCATCAAGGAGTATCAGGTGGGAATTTATGAATATAACTATCGGTCTTTGTACTTTCGCATTAAAAATCACACTTGGTTTTAAAGCGCGTTTAACGAACATTGCGTTACGGTTATCAGTGTCGTTTTGTTTGTGATGTACTCGTACAAGTTGGTTAGTCGTATTGTAGAGTTATATTTTTGACTTATAAGCATTTCATTAATCATAGCACCCTTTTTCTCGTTATACTATTTATATTTAAAGTACTTCTCAATTATAAGATGGATTCAAATCAATAAATAATTTTTCACTATTAACATTGCATCAAATGTCATTCATTTATGAGAAAATATTATCTTTTTCAATGGATTTCCACATACAGTTGTGTTTAAGGCTTTTTGATGTTTCAAAAGGTATGACAATGGACTGGAGAGTAATCTGAGTGAATCTTCAAGCTGTGTGTAGTTTTGTAGAGTGATTTTTTGTTGTCGCAAATCAGGCCCTGTAAATAAAAATGTGACCACCGCAGAAAAATTATGTCGGATGGCTTTTTATTATTTTGCCGTAATTCTTTAAATAAGTGTCTTTTAAAGACATATTCGTTTTGTTATATGTTGTTGTGATATCTAGAAAATGCGAGATTTGTGGGTACCTCTCACGTCAATCTGATTCTAGTTTTACATTGTGTTCAAGGAGTTAGACAGAAGTAAATCGGACTAATGGAACAGTCCCAAACGATTAACCAGAGCTGGCAATGCGACTCTTGTTCAATTTTATTTAGAGGATTAATTATTTCGATCAGTGACAAGTGTTTATATAGTTGTCTAACGAAGTTGAAGATCTGTGAAATGTGCTGTCACCGTATGGTATAGCAGAGTTATGTAGTTTACAAATAGCATACCATTTGGTAAATAAATAAATAAATAAAAAGTAAGCGAAACGAAATGCAACTCATCAGTTGTAGCTTGCCACAAAAGAAAACCTTAGAAAGACAGAGATTTCCATAGCCATTACAATAGGGATTCGCAGTCAATAGAACCGAGTCTTTTCAACCGACTCTAAATCATACTGACTGACGTTTTCAACCATGGGTTCCACTTATCGTGAGCTTTCGACCAAAGATCTCGAATTTCCTCACACGGCTTAGTATTTTAGGCAATCACTTCAGGGATCGTCATCACATCAAAACTTGGTCATATTTTGCTTTCCTCCATATCATCTCTGTTTCCTGTGAGGCAACGCGTATGATCAAGGAGTGGATAAGGGGGCATAAAACTCGACTTTTGTCCTGTCTGACCTTTATTATTCATTAGCTACGCTACAAAACTAGCAGTAATCAAACATTTGAAGCCTCTTCAGATCTGCATTGAACATGTGTTTCATAACAGTCAGGTAAAAATACTGAAATCGGTTGTCAGAGTTTACGTGAGCTGTAATTTAGTAGGTGCAAAGCGAACTTTCTTCCTTTTTGAAATTTGCCAGTTTGCAACTCAATACTGTGCTCAAGGTCCTCAAACACTTGACTTTCTGTAGTCAGATGGTGTAAACACAGAATTTTTATTGTGAAGGTTTTTACACTTTAATGGCGAGAAATGCAGGGTCATATGTTCAATAAATCTCGTAGTCTCTTTCAACTTCACTACCAGTGATCTTCCATCAAAAGTATAGGGAGTTTAATGAAAATTTTTTGATCGATACTAACTTTAGAAATCACAAGGAACAAGAGGCCAACAGTTTAATCCGTTGGATTACAAAATAAATATACATTCATTTTGTATGAATTAGACCATTTAAAAAAAGTTATGCTTGTGATACTTGAATAAAATTGGAATGGCAAAACCTGAGTGTCTAACAGATTCACTTATGAATAAGGAAATAAGTTTCATGACTGAGGTCAAATATAGTTTGATACATTAACCTTTTTCTAAATTGTCTTTATATTTAGTGCTGTTGACCACCGCTGACATGCTGTCTACAAATACATGATCATTTAAAGCAGATATAGAATTATAACTGAAATGCGTCCATATTATACCTCGTCGTCTGTTCCATCCTCGCCTATCACTATTAATACATTTCATTGTTTACAACCAAATTCATCGTCATTCCAACCAAAATACTTCCAGTCGTCATCTCCACAGTATGATCTATCGAAGCAAAAACCAAGTGAACAGTATAACAGTATAACTTATAATCGAAATCATCTTTATCAAAATGTAAATCATACAAATTCATCTTCTGGTCAACATTTCTCCAGTCCATCAAGTCATCATTTCAGTAGTTATTCACAATCGTCAAATATTCAGTCATCCACACCAAATCATCCCTATGAATATTATCGGAATACGTTTACACATTCACAGCCGAATATTGCCAATGATTCATCTGTAAGTTGAGCTTATTAATTTTACAATTTTTATGTGTTTTCGAAATGTTCTGAGGTTGACTGATATCCTTCAATTGGAATATGACGGCATATAACTTAAATAATTACTGCTGAGATTAAGATAACAGTTTAACTGCTTTCTTTAAGTTTAGTAGAAGTAGCAGTAGTGTTAGGTCGGTAGCAAATGGGGCTATGAAATTTTTATCAATACCGATTAATTGCTTGATAGAAAAATCTATGATAAAGTGAACTGTTGTTAAAGCGGAAGAGAAGTGTACGTACTATTATTACTGTTATTATCAATTATTATTACCAAAACACAAACTTAGTACATTATGGGCACCAAATGATGCCCCGAAAAATATCTCATAGATTGTCCGAGGGCTCGAATACTCCACAAACACCTAGAACGAAGCGAGTGGTTGCCTTAAGGAGCCATCCGCCCCTTGAACATTTGACTTGAAGTTTTATCCACAAGGCAGTGGATCAGCGTCAGAAACTATTTTTCAATGTTTTCTGGTGACGAAAACGGGTTTATACGCCGTTTGATCGTTTCAGATTCTGGAGCCCATGTATGCTATAAGTTTGGAATTAGCTTTTTCCGGTTCCCCCAGGTAGACCAGGATGTCTATCAGTCCGGAGCCACACTTTCTCATTCGCCTTCTAACTTCTGTGAGGCACAACCAGTGAATATGACTTACACATGAATTATGTATCTTGTGTAGTTTACACTTTGCTTAATCTTTCTGTAAGGTGAATGCTGTAGAAGTTGTCTTAGGGTTGGTTGCGGTGTCATTCAGTTACCAATACCTCATCATTATCTATGCGTTAATATCACAAATTTTCACTTTACTTATTCTACACTTCTTTTATCTTACAGAGTTTGAGAACCACTAATATTAGACACATTTTTCGATTTTGTTTCATTGTAGTTCCTTACTGCTGATATGTGATATGAAAACTGTCACATAAGAATGCTAGTGGTTGTATTGTTTACGTCTGTCTATCAGTCAGTTGGTATTTTTTTTCCAGCATTATTTCGAAGTGAAGAGGAAAAATGGAATAAATAAGCGTGTTTTAGTTTTCCCTTAGTCAATAGTTTTCACTGTTTGCCTTAAGTGAACTGTACAGTGCCTCAGAATGAAGCTATAGAAATTAGTTCGATTGTATGGAAAGCTATAAGATTAACTTAGTTTAAGTGAGTAATAATTTTTTTACAAAATTGATCATTTTGGTTTTGTGGGGCTAGTTTACTTACATCAAGTGTGTGCGTGTATATGCCTGTGATGTGGTCCCACCGTTTGCTATGCAATCAGTCGCACGTCATTGTTTCCAAGTTTTGATTCTACCTACTGAAGTTTATCGCGGAGATGCGGCCTTTTGGCGTAATCACTCGGTTTTCAACCGATGGGTCATGGGTTCGAGCCTCATTCCACCTGTTTCAATTTAGGTACCTGAACAGTATCATCAGCCGTGACACAATAAGTGTGTGGCTCTTAGCCTAGCAAATAAAAAATCTATTCTGGGTAACTGAGTTCAAACAACAGGGGTTTAATTATCAAGCAGTATTAATATATACAACTGAGGAATACTGAGGAGGACTAACCCCAAGTCAAACAGGGTCCCTTATCAATCGACTCCTAAATGTCCAGTGGCTTACTCTATCAAATGACAGTGTACTGCAGTATTATGTCATTGTGTTTACTACCTGTCTATCACCTAAATGATTGATTGGTAGATTTCAATCAATGCTTAAGGGTATATAACGACATTGTTTATACCATCCTCTAACAACTCATTCGCGTTCATACCCGTTCTTATAGTCAAATAATATATGTGCGTCATCTTCTGTTCTGACTGCTTCTTCCTTACTCATTTATTGTGTAAACTTACTGTCACTAGAAATAATGTCCATCAAAGGCACAACTATATCTATTGACTGTCAAAAACTCTCCAACTTTAAGAATGCTGATTCACTGTTTGGTTATTGTTCACCATTTTTTTCATATACCAAACTTCATCGTTGTTTTAGTATGATTTAGTACTTGGTACCCATATTTTTCCACAAACACTTTTTCTTCTTCTCAAAACCAATTATTTATCCCGTCTTCACGCGACCGGAGTGTTCCGCACAAAACTGAGATGGTGAAAGCAAACGTCTAGCTCTTAAACCGGACTGATGGACACGCTGGTCTACCTAGGGGAACCGGAAAAACCTAATTCCAAACTTATAGTATACATGGGCTCCAGAATCTGAAATGATCAAACGGTGTATGAAGCCGTTTTGGTCACCAAAAAACATGGAAAAATAGTTTCTGACGCTGATCCACTGCCTTGTGGATAAGACTTCAAGTCAAATGTTCAAGGGGTGGATGGCTCCTGAAGACAACCACTTACTTCAGTGTAGGTGTTTGTGGAGTATTCGGACCCTCGGACAAACTATGAGATATTGTTTGGAGCATCATTTGGTGCCCATAATGTACCATGTTTGTGTTTTGTTAACAATAATAAACGTGTTTGATTATCTAACTGCATCCGAAGTAGGCACCTACCTACTGACCTTGACATTGAGGCAAACGTAACTTGATGGAGATGCAGTCCATTCGGCTTAGGCGTTCAACTTGCTATTCTTGCGTGACGGGTTCTGTTATAACTGAACTGAAATAAATAAACCCCGTCACTACTTTGTTATGTCAGCGCCTGTTAATTACTATAACGGAAATAAACTCGATTGGTACGCTAATGCGTCTATTTGTCCGTTGCACTTTCCGATTCACTGAGCCACGCAAATATCAAAAGACAAAGGCTGGCCTGTGACTGTAAGATATTGTATTATTGTACATCTATTAGGAAACAAAACATTTATATATTAAATTTATCACAATAAAGTTGGCTCACAACTTTGGGAATGGACTGTTATTATTGGCTGGAAATGGTTGTTCTCATTGGTTGGCGATCCGACAAATACCAAGGTGAGACAAAAACGATGAATTGATCACACACACACACTAAACCACAATATGCATGAGAAATGATACATTCACGAAGTAACTCGATCACAAGATAAATCACAAGATTCGTGAGAAAGGATGATATACTATGTTATGCCGGGTCCTAACAGGTGCTAATCCCGCTCCAACCACTAATGTCTAAGCAGATATGTAATATCAACAGTCATAACATAACAGGTGTGCCTTATTCTCAACTGATTGAAATTATAAAAGGCATCTAAGTAACCCTTTTCTTTTCAATTATAACTTGAAACTTCTCATTGTTTTATACTACATTGTATTGAGTTGATTATTTCCTGTTGCTGTATGGACATTAGGCAGGCTAATCAGTAAGATTGTGAATTCTTACAGACTGAAGCCACTGGGATATATAATATTACACATGATAGGTCATTGTTTCCTTAAAAAACATGCATTGTTAACTGATTTAGGACGGAGATCAGAAAGAGGAGGTAGGACAGTTATCTTAAAACGTAACATCAACCCATAGCGTTAGTGGTTTTCGGTTTAAGCCACATACGTAACTATACTTTATATAGCTAGGGGTATAACTCTGGAACTGTTGTTTGGAGACTGTGTTACGGGATCTAAGATTGTTCACAATTGTGCACTTGTAGTTGTTTTTTCGAAATTCTTCGAAATTTCAGACGTTTTCACCAGTCATTCTGTGTTTGGGTGCCTTATTCTCATAACTAGTGGTTTTCTGTACAAAATCTCTCCCCCTTGTGTTTCCAGTGAAATAGCAGCACCTCTCCATTTCACTGTGTTTTCTTTGCAGTCCTTGTAAGCTGGCTCTACGATTGTCTGTTGTCTTTCATCCTCTCCTAACACGATCTCCTTCATATCACTTTCGTAGCAACACCCAACTCATCGTTTCCGGTTCGGATCCCACTCAACTTCTTGACTGGCGTGGAAAGTCACGTGCCAGTCTCCTCAGTGTGTGTTCGACCCATCCACTTCCTTTTTCTTCGGAATATTTGTTGAGCAATAGTTCTTTGCTGTTGGTCTGATGTTTAATAAGGAGCGGAGGAAGGTGTTGATAAAAGTTTACAGCCTATTGGAATTGCTTTTGTTGACGCACATACCAAGTCTCTGAATCATATGGAAGGAGTGATTTGACATTTGTGTTGAAAATTCGAATCTAATTCTTTATCCTGAATGCAGGTGATTTCAGATTGATGAATGTGTGTATCTTTCGATATTCTCATCTGCGTCGCTTGTAGTTGAACAAATAAGTTGGTTAGTTAGTTAGTACTCAGTTGTCTGGCTGTGGATGATGAGCAACACCTGTTGTGTGTAAAGGCTAACGACACTGCCCAGTTAGCGCCTCTACCTTTCCAGATTGAAGTAGATGTCTGTCTGTCTGTCTGTTTTCGACATAGAACTGTGCACATATGTGTGGCAGTTCAAGTCGCCACACTCCATGTAGCACACAAAGCAAGAGAAGAAAGTAGGAGAAATGCATAATATAGACAGTAAACAGAGGTGTGAGACAAAGGAATAGTAATAACGAAGAACAATATAGTTTCATTGGAAATCATAAGTCATAAGGAGTGGATGCATCTGCACCAGTCATTGAGAACGATTTTGAGCCATGTCACCAATTGTTTCCAACCATTGGTTTTTACCGTTCAGGAAGTCTACACCTTCCTACGTGGCTTAGACTAACTGTTGTGGATTTCATTGATTGGTGCCATGTTTTCGTTTGACCGCCGCTAGCTCTTTTCCAGCCTGACCCTATGACAGCTAACATAGCCCGTCGAGGAAGGCGATGACTAGGCATACGTAACACATGTCCCAACCATCTCAGTCGATGTAATTTCACAGTCTCGTCGATTGATTTCCCCTCCTTACCTAGCACTCGACGGAGGCCTAAACTCAATATTGCTCACCTTATCATACCACTTCACACGGGAGATAGAGCGCAGACACCTAAGATCAAAGACAGCTAATCTTTTCATGTCTTCCACTCTCAATGGCCAGGTCTCAC